TCTGCTTCATTAAAGTCTTCCTTAGAAGTGAATATACTATTAGCCCACTCTGAGTTTTTCTCCTTATGTAAATGAGTTTACACTAAAACCACGCAGTTCACAGATGTGCCCTAGCTAGTCAATATTTGGAATGCGGTCATAGGGCAAAACATTTTCTCTGTGTAATATTTTGCCCTTGGCCTTCTAAGCAGCGCCCAAATGCAAATGTGTTCTTAAGTCTTGTAAGACTATTTCTTCACATTCTCTGCCAAATTTAAGTGAATCTGTGGAGAAAAGACTGAACTCAAACAAACTCTGTTCCAATGTGACAAAGAATAGTAACACAAACACATGGAATATTCAAAGCAGCCCAAATAAAAGCCAGCGTTAGTCACAGTTTTCATTAGACAAGTCTCATAACTATTTAAAAAGTTTAACTAGTGTAAAATTATGTTCTAAAATGCCAATTCATGAAATTAGCCCACAGACTACAGGAGTTAAGCCCAACTCTCTCAAAGTTGGGTTTGTCTCTCCAAGTGACACCTGACATAATAGCAAACTACTTTTTTTATCCTGAAAGCACATCATCAGGATGACACCTACCTACACAAAATGAATGGCAGGTGCATTTATAAACTGTTCAAAGGGATGAAAGGTCAAAAAGGAGGACTATGTCTTATTCATCTTTGTTACTACAGCATCTTATGATGATGATGATAATGACAACACTGACTACATGCCTACTATGTGACAGATACTGCTCTAAGAGATTCACGAGTATTATGTTATTCAATCTTAATAATACCCAAACTTGGGAGGCAAGTAGTATTGTCATCTCACTTTACAGAAGAGGGAATCCAAGCACAGAGAAGTTGAGTAATTTACCCCAGATTACCTAGCTATTAAGCAGCAGAGGACCCAAATCCAGGCAGCCTTACCCAAAGTGCAAGCTCTTACCACAAACTTAGTAATGGGCAAGTGATATGTATCTGTTAAATACACATTAACAGTATTTGAGCACCCTGGCTGGGTTGCTCAATTAATTGGAACATCATCCCGTACACCAAAAGACTGCAGGTTCAATTACCAGTCAGGGTATGGACCTGAGGCAACCAATCAATGTTTCTCTCTCATTTCAGTATTTCTTTCTTTCTCTCTCCCCCTTCCTCTCTCTAAAAATCAATCAATAAATTTAAAAAGTTTAAAAAAGTATTGAACAATGGCTTTTATAGTCATATATACTCAGAAAAATATACAAAATATTATCTAGTCTTTGTTCTTCTTCATCCAAACAGCGAAAGTATAATTAGGTACAGGCAACAGACTACAAGCATTTGACAGCAGAAAATATTTTTTTAATTGCTTTAATACTTCATAGTGGCCTACCAAAGAATCTCAGGATAAGGCTCCTCAAAAAAAAAAAAGAAGAAGAAAAAGAGGAAGAAGAAGAAGAAAAGAAATCAAAGATTGTAGAAGAGACAGCCAGGGTGAGCTGCTGACCAAAGTATGTTGGAGATGAATACTGTCTCCTACTAACTGTTCTGCAGTGACGCTCTAAGCACTGCAATGCTGCCAACATTAACTCTGAGCTCATAAATGCCATGCTGCAAAAGTCACTGACAACCAAATATGAAAATATTTCCTTTTCTGTACTGATTTTATTCATCCTGGGGTCCTTGCCTAGGAGGTTTGAGAGTTAACAGATTCTGGGAAAGAGCCAGTTTCACCATGTATTGTTGGACAAAGTGTAATAGCTTAGTCAATAAATGAAGTTTACTTTAGCCTCTTAGTCCTTGGAATGGACAGTACATATAAGAAAAGCTGACCATAGCCCTGGATGGTGTAGCTCAGTGGATTGAGCACCAGCCTGTGAACCAAAGGGTCTCTGGTTCAATTCCCAGTCAGGGAATATGCCTGGGTTGTGGGCGAGGTCCCCAGTGGGAACCACATGAGAGGCAACCACACATTGATATTTCTCTCCTCTCTTCTCCCTCCCTTCCCCTTTCTCTAAAAATAAATAAATAAAATCCAAAGAAAAAGAAAAGGTGACCATAAATAGTTCTTTGATGTTCAGAAACACCTACTACCTAACCTCCTTCAGCCAACACAAATATCATCTGAATTATCTAAGACTGATTGTTATATATGGTTAAAAGAAAAATCCAGACCATTCAGTGGCCTGCAGGAATAAAAGGAGAAAGAAGAAATCATATACCTCTACCAGATGAAACGGAAAAATAATATTCTGGAAAGAGATGGAAAAAAATAGCTCTCTTTGGTTCCAAGTGACCTGATTGCAAAAGTAAGATAAACACTGCAGTGCATAGGAAGAAAAACCTATCTACCTGAGTAACTGAAACAGCAGTTTCTGCAACTGCTAGTAACTTAGGCACCTTCCTAGCCATTATATAACTAAGCCATGGTCTTAATAGGCCATCATACTGTAAGTCAACAGCTGGTAGGCACATCTAAGCTGTCAGCATTTGAGAAACGCTTCCAAAGTGGATTCAGATTAAGCATGGAGCAGGCCAAAATAGGCTCATCATTCATTCAGAGCACATGACAACTCCTTGTGAATTAAGCTTCACTCATGTCCTCAGAGTAATTTAAGCAGCAAAAGATAGGGTGCTTGTAACTGTAACTACGAAATTGCACACTGCTACAGAAACACAAATAAGTGCTGGTATGGTCCCACTACACATGCAACTCATTGAACTCACTGTCCAAGCCATCCATTTCAGTCTCATTAAAGATTTTGAATATTTCCATACATAAGAATTGCACAACTCCATACCACAAATGATCAAAGTTAAAACCAACATCAACAGTGGCACCAATTTATAAACAAGCCGATGTTTAAAATGCTTCAGTCCTAAAGGATACCAAGGCCTCAGAGAAAAACTAAGAAACACACATAACACACACAGGAAAATTAGAAAGTGGGCAGACCAGCCATAATTAGGCACTGGCTTTGCTGACTACTGAAGACAGAAATGTCTCTTACATAGATAAAGCCAAAAACCAACTGTTTGCAATTATATTTCCAAAAACTTTCAACCCTGTCTGTCACAAAATTTTTTATCAATATTTTGATGTATCCAGGGGCTGGAAAATAGAAAATTCTTTAAGTCATACACACCACAAACCAACCAATTAAGTTCATGGAGTCCATACCCCAAAGATCAGAGCAAAATAATTACAGATATGCAATGTGATTGCTTGGGGGGCAGGGGCAAAAAAGGAAACACCAAAACAAGGAACAAGGCTCCAACAATTAGAGTTGTTTGTTAACATAAGTTTGATTTTGCTAACAGTAAACAGAACTGGAAACACTGCAGGTGACTGGGGGGTGAGAAGGTGGAGATAGTAAGATGGTAACACCAGGAACCTTGGACTCTGTTATCTCCAGCAGCTCAGACCTCCAGACTTGAGGCCCTCTGATAAAAACTGACAGAAAAGCTGAAGACCACCCCTTCTCCAAAGGAAATGAAAATGACCAATCAATTTTCCACAGGCACCCACTCTGCCACACTACAAGGGCCCCTTGTAGTCTCTAACAGAAATGAGGGGAAAAGGAACTTCAGGCTGTAAGTGAGCAGGATAGAAGGCCTTGATAAGTCCCTGGTTCTGAAAACAAACAACTGCCATAAAAGCAAAAACAAGGTAGATGATGACAACCAGAGGCTAGGCTGAGGAGGTGAGGGGAATTGATGTGGCTTTTATAGGAAGCAGCAGCAGTAGCTATAAAGGTTCTTCATTAGTCAGGTTGAGGAAAACTGCAGTTTTAAATATGGTGCATGGCTACTTTAAAGGGTTCATTCAAGTGAGAGATTGGACAAAGAAAAAATTTGTAGTACAAATATGCTTTGTGGGTCCAACAGAAACCAAATGATTCTGCCTGATGTCTTACATTCCAATACTCCCAGTGAAGATGGCTACAGAAAAGTGCTACACATACTTCCTTAAAAAAGTAATTTTACATGTAAAAATTTATATATTTACATGTATGACTTCCTAACTGACCTTGGCCAACTTCACTACTACAACTCCACAAATCCCTTGAGAACCAAAGGGCCCAATGAGTGAATCCTCCAGTGTCAGGATTCCTCACAGACCTCTTCAGTCACCAGCCTTTCCCCAAACCACCGACAGCCCACCGTGAGTTCTATAAAGCCTACAATTCCAAAACCTCGAACAACTAAAATTAACCAACAATCCAGCTCTCCCAAAGTTTTTAACCCCTGATTACCTAATGCCACCATAAACCTGCACCCCCACTATGTTCCCTGAGCCCATTCCTGCAGAAAAGCAAAGAAAAATTTTCCTCAGTATTTCCTCACTTTCTTCGTCTCCTCCTCCAATGATCTTGTCTATCCTCAGGCTTCCATTCCCATGATCTGTAAGTACTAGACGATCCTATGAAGATGGGTATCTCTGTCATAAGGTACCAGATCCCTCCTATCCCCCAGTAGCCTGTACCCACCACACACCCCTAAAACATGCCCCAGCCCTCCAGTTTACCCTTGTCTTCCCCCACCCTCCTGGTTCACATTTCCTATGGTCCTGACCTCATTCCCTTAGGATCTGCTAATTGCTGGTTCCAGAGTCTTCTTAGCTTAGTCTCACGGTTCCGTCAGAGTTCCAAACCTTTCCAATACTGTCTTCTACACACTCCGTACAACGCTGGGAACCCCCTTCCCCATTCCCAGCTGCTCAGTTCCCTAGGTCCCGGTACTTAATGTCCGACCCCTCGCGCCTCCTCGGCCGGTAGAGTTTCCCTCTCCCGGGTCCCTCGGTGTCTCCCACCTTCTTGCCCTCTCCTAACTTCCCCTCCACAACCTCCGTACCCGTTTTCCCAGTCCCCAACGCTCTCCAATACCCCAAGGTCCGCTCACTGCGCCGACCCTTCAGTCTCAGTGTCGCGGGTCCTTCCTGCCCCCGCTACAGGCGGACCGCGAACCCAGGCTGCGCGGTCCCGGGTTGCGCAACCCCGCAGCCGCCCAGTCCCTCCGCGCCACTACCTTGGCCTTGGTGACGAGGTGCGTGGCCCGCTTGACCACAGCGAAGTTACCCTTGCCGATGGTGCGGTCGATCTCGTAGTAGCCGATGCGGGCAGGCACCGGCCCACGGGAGGCCGGGGCTGGGGGACGCGGCGAGCTAGCCGCCGGGGCCACAGTAGCGGGGGCAGCCGGGGGTCCCGGGGCAGGAGGAGGCAGCAGGCGGCCCGCCGGCCCCGCTCCTCCCGCTCCGGTCCCGGCAGCCCCGCCAGCTCCGCTCGCAGCTGCCGCCGCCGCCGCCATCTTGTTGTGCAGCGAAACCTCCGGGACCGCGGGGAGCCGGCGGGTGGAGGGGGAGGGGGAGGGGGCGGGAGGAGGGGGCGCTGACGTCACCCGGGGCGGAGCGCCCGCATTGCCGAGGCCCAGCGTCATGGCAACCGCTCGTCACGTGATGACGCGCGTCACTGCCTAGAGCCATGGCAACTGTGACCTCACCCGCTAGCTCGACCTTCCCGCTAAGACCCAGTTCCTCTGGCGCAGGCTCCCAGTGCCCTTCTCTGTGGATTAGAGTGGGCACCACAAGTATGCTAGTCAGTTGCAAAACGCTGTGGCGTTCCCATGTCGGGGTGCTTTAAGCCCGACCAATGCCAGCTTCCCTGGAATCGCTAAAGTGACCCGTAGTGTGACCTCTATACCAGTTCAGCAAATACCCAGCTTCCCTTAAAACAAAATATTGCCTCATCAAAAATACCAGACCTGTCTCACTTTAGCACTTGAGGCCCCAAGGCAGGAATAGCTACAGTGTTGCTGCGACTGTAAAAGTTGGTAACGAAGCAGGGGAATTTTTTAGAAAAATTCCTTCCCTTACAAAAGCCAACCCACCCGATACAACCAATCTAATTGTCAACAAATATAGGAGAAAGGGGAAACTAGGATTTGCGTGTTCACGGGCGGGAAACCAGACCAAACACACATACCAGTTATTGGGTGGGTGAAGGCCAGAGAAGGTACGTCATTTTCCTCCCTCCCACCTCCTCTCTGAACAATTCCATAATTACATGATTGTCCTATTTCTGTCACTTGTGCAACCCTGATAGAGCAGTGGTGCACATTGTCCAGTGAGCCCATCACAGTTAAAGAACAGTCTGTTAGGCAAAATAAATAATAAAATAAACATTCCACCCTTACTATCGACTCTTGAAGGACATTAAAAATGATCGAATTTATCTTTATTTTCCCCTCCTGTTATCTGACATTCCACACCCTCCAGAGCCCCTCACAGGCTCCCAAGTTTCCCCCACCTCTTTCCCCTCTTCCCTTTGTTAAGTAAATTAACTGCTTTAGGTGGGCATGGAGAACAAGGTAGGGATGGGGGTAAGAAGGAAGATTGTGAGCATTTCTATGTTCAAATGTATTCTTTCAGTCCTGTGCTGATCCCATTCTTGTCTCAATGGCAGAACTGTATCATCAGGTCACTGCATGTATATTAAAAACTGACATCCAAGGCACTGTAAATGTGTGAGGAGAGTGCATGTTTACTCGCTCTGATTGCAAGATGTTTATAAGCATATTTGATTCCATCTGACTATGAGTAATGGCTGGGAGTGGAATGGGACAGAGAGGTCATTAATGCAATTGTCTTAGATCGATTCCCTGATGGCTGTTCCAAATTGCCAACACAATTAACACTAATTGGCTCCTTTACTGGCAAATAAGGATAAGGATGAAGTAGACCTCGGTTTCTTGCATCAGTTAAACCCTTTCATTGGTTGAGATTAATCAATCCCCAATAAATGATGTGGCCAGCTTTTCTTACCATTTCATGACCCCACTCACCTGCCTTTAGCAAGGACTGTACATTAACTTTATAAAGTTCTGTGTCCCAAGGCAAGGAAAAATATCTTTTACTCTGGATGCAGGAGCAGCACTGAAACCATTCTTATAGTGACTTTATAGCCTCTCCTCCACTCAGAGATTATTGGAACATCAAGTATGGCAACTTCTGCTGCTCTCTGGAAAGTGTCAAAAACAAATAACCCTCTATAGAGAAACTAGAAAATGTATCAGTGGTCTAACCTCCAAAGAGAAGAACCACATCACTCTTGCCCCTAATAATGGCCAGAATGTATATGCTGGGTGTTATGTCATTCGTGCTCCCAGCCTACATGGATTGAAGCCAGTAGATAGTGTGTCCTATTGGGACTTGGACAAAGACTTAGTGGAGATGTCCCTGAAGAGTTCTTTGAAGAGAAGAATATAGAAAATTGAGGAAGACATTGATGAACAAAAACCCTTGGAGAATAAGGAAAACAATTAGGCTCATGTGTTTTAATAAGGATTTACTGAGGAACTCAGAGTCAACAATGACAACTTGCCAGGCTTTATCCAAAGCAGTTTACAGATATGAACTCAATCCTCAATAACTGTATGAAACAAATTCTATTATTATCCCCATTTTACAGATAAGAAAAAGGAGGTACAGAGGGATTAAGATAATTGGCCACAGTCATAGAGCTAGAAAGTGGTAGAACTAGGATTCAAACAAACCCAAACAAAGCTTACTTACCTCTGGAGCCTGAGATCTTTCCCCACTGGATTATATACTTTCTAAAAGTAAAAATTAATAGGAAAAGTTGTTCCTCCAGAAGCCCAGGGTGACTGAGCTCAATTTACATCCAGGAAAGTAGAAGACTTTGAGAGTTCTTGAGAGCAGGACAGAGCAGGTACAAGCTAACATTATAGAAGCATTCAGCTGATACAGAAGCATATTCAAAAATCCTGTATGCCAAAAGGGAACATCATAGAATGTTTACATGCCACTTATTCCCAAGCAAGGAAGTCATTAGCCAGTTATAAATTCTGCCATCACATAGACTTGGTCCAAATACTCAGTGTGCCCTGGTTCTCCAGGTGAGCTGAATGTGTTTTCTCTTTGTTAGGGCTGCATTCAGCATTACTACCTCAGCTGTTTGGCTGTTGCCTTTCCTTCTATCCCAGATCAACCTAGTCATATTCCAGTGCTTCCCCTGGGTAGCAAGAAACAGGTCTGAGCAGGCAAAAGTACATAGTCTCCTGCTATAAAGTGTCTAGAGGAGGGGGCTAATAAGAAGGTAAATAAGCTTTCAGTAAAAGATTCTCTGTTCAGCTTGCCCACATTTTTCTTTTTAATGGAACCTTTCAAGCTATTACACAAAACAAAAATTACCCTTACTGCTTTGCATATTTTCTAGAATATTAATACCCTTTAAATCATACAAAACATCTTTAAGTATGTTTTTCTTAAAGGTTTTCTACATTCTTAGATGTGACTGTATTATCATTTGGGATCAATGTTTTCCTTGGGCAAATAAACCTTTGATTTTATAAGGAAAGTCAATGGGAAAACACAATTAGTAGAGACAAAAATTCATCCAGGAAAATTTTGCAGAAAACTATATGCTCCTAAGGTGAGGTATACTTAGTTACCCTGTGATCAGCTCCCGAATATTTACACTTATAAAACTTTTTCTTATACTCTGTCTATTTATCCTAAGTGAAAAGTCTGATACTCAACAAATATTGACATTTTGTCATATTTGGATTCTTTCATTTGTATATAGAAGTATATATAAAATTCTAGAATTCATAACTCCATAAAAAATAAAGGCACACTTTAATGTCTACCTCAAATGGAAGTTCTTCATTCCCTGGTTCGAAACCTACAGAACTGTTTCTTTCCTCTTTTCCCTTCATTCTCACATCTCTCCTGACCTAAGACCCATCACCTCTGCCAAACCTGCCTTGGGAACTGCCTCTCAGTTTAAAGGGCTCACCTTCAGCCTTGCAAATGTTATGGAAGGTGGTATAGAGATTGCTTTACAGGAGCTTCCTTGCATTGAGATTGGGATTTGCTGAGGTGTTCTACTAGCTTTTGGCTAAGAAAAATTGGGATTGATTTCTGTACGTAGCTGACCTACCTTTGTTTCATTTCTGTCACAATTTTACTCAGCTCAACCAGAAAATCCATCTTCCACCTCTAAGGTCAAAAGGAACCTTCTTCCTTGTCTGCAGAGACACCTGCTGGTCAACATCTTGAACTACAGGATGCCTAGCGTGCTCTTCCCGCTCCCCCAAGCCGCAGCCTCTGCCCCTCCACGTTGCCCCCTTCCCCCCACCCCCCCCAATTCCACTAAGACCTTCCAGTCCTTTCTATTTAAAGTTCAGGCAGTTGAAAACCACAAACCCACATCAAGAGCCAGAAAGCTAGAATCCAGATAGAACCCAGCTCCAGGAAGCTGGATTTCTTTGTGGCTAAATAAAAAGTACAGTGGGCTAAAATTACAGTGGTGCCTAAAGCTTAGGTAGCAGTCCACAACTGTGGTTTTGTGCCACCCAAGGGTACCTTCAGTTATCCCCACAGTTCCTGTGGCATTTTAAAAAGAATTCTTAAGGACAAAATTCATTTTCACTTATTTTTATTTCTAAAATAATTTCATTCTTTTGGCATCTTTAAAAAGAGCAGCCTGGCATTATGAATAAAAAGAGCAAGGATTTTACAGTTGGACATAGGCTTTTTAGTGGACTTTTCCACTTATGAGTTCATCTCTGAGCCTCAGTTTTCTTTTCTGGACTCCTACCTCATGAGTTCTGAGGAGAATAAACTGTCATTAGGTGGAGGAACCTAAACTACAGTCTAGTACATAGTATGTACTGAAGTATTAATTTCCTCCTTCTAAATGACAAAAGCATATAAACAATAACATGCTGCTTTCCAATCACTTTCAAAAGACTTATGAATGAGTAAGAACAGAATTATGGCCGTGAAAACTAATTAACTTCAGAGTTAAAGTGAGAAAATTATAGTTGTGAATGTGTTGGTTTGATCACTAAACATGTGTAGTTTGATCTTTGCAAGTCGGACATTTTCATGATGCAACTCTACATGTCCAATGAAAACATTTTCACTCTCATAGCTTTATAAAGTACTTACTATGTCTACCGTACAAATGGTTAAGTTATTGGACCTATCTGATGATTGGCTCACATAGACAGTTAAGTGGTGAACTTGATAAACAAATCCAGGGCTTTCAATCCCAAAATCAGTTGTCTTCAGTGTATACCAATGTTTGTGGTTTGCAAAAAGAAAAAAAGTACCAGTGATTTATTTTCTTCCAAAATTTATTTAAAGTATATATGTCCCTGGCCAGGTAGCTCAGTTGGTTAGAGAGTCATCCTGATACACCAAAGCAGGGGTTCAATCCCTGGTCAGGGAACATACGAGAGTCAACAAATGAATGCATAAATAACTAGGACAACAAACTGATGTGTCTCTCTTGCTTCTTCTCTCTGTCTAAAAC